AACAATCGATTCGTCCAGGAGCAAGCAGCGGGCAAGCCTCTCTTCCCCTACACACTGGGCACCATGAGCAGCTATGCTGGGCTCGCACGATTCGGGCTGTTTGTGATGCGCACGGCTCTGGGCCTGATCAATATCTTGGGCGGGATGGGAACCTCCAACGCTGGGATGGCCTACTTCGATCGCCGAATTCTGGCCATGTCCGAGGATGATATGCCATATGCCGTGAGTATCACACCAGCAGGGGATTTGATCACCATGGGCCGCTACAGCTTCAACAACCGATTGTTCTTGCCGATGTGCGCTCATCCAAAGATCGATCCAATCTCTGGCGAGCTCTTCGCGGTTAGCTTCAATCCGGTGATCAATCCCCACCTCCGCTACTTCTGGGCGAGCCCGGACGGGAGGAAGAGCCCCGATTTCGACGTGTGGCTGCCGGACCCGTGCTTGTTTCACGACTTCGCGATAACAGAGAACTACGCAATCCTTCCAGAGAATCAGCTCGTGATGAAGTTCCAGGATGTAGTGCTCAAGAACAAACTTGTCATTGATGGAGATACCGCCAAGGTTCCCAGATTCGGGGTGATCCCTCGCATCCCGACCGTGGGATATTCCGGCATTCGCTGGATCGACGTCCCGGATTGGACATCATTCCACTACATCAACGCCTGGGAGGAAGGGACGGACAAGATCGTCGTGCTCAGCTCGTCCATTACGCCCGTGGAACATCTGTTTGACGATATCGCCGGATTGTCTAACAGATTGCACGAGATCCACCTGGACCTTCGATCTGGACGGTCGTGGAAGCAACACGTGTGCTCGGCTGGCTTGGATTTTGGACAGATCAACCAGAAATTCCTGGGGCGGAAGAATCGGTACGTCTACATGTGCTACTATGGGCCATGGCCTAAAATCTCGGGCCTGGCCAAAATCGATTTGGACGCTCCACGGCTGCCCAGGGTGGTCATCGATGGAACAAGTGACCCAGATTTAAATGAGCCGTGCATTGTGGCGTCGAGGAGATTCGAACGAGGTCAGTTTTGTGGTGAGCCTTTCTTTGTGGCGAATGGCGAGGAGGAAGACGATGGATACGTCTTAAGCTATGTCCACAATGAGGAAAGTGGTGTCTCGGAGCTTTTGGTCATGGATGCCAAATCGCCCACACTTGAGACAGTGGCTTCTATAGAGTTGCCTGCTAGAGTTCCATATGGATTCCATGGGATCTTTATAAATGCCGATCAAATAGCCGATCAGAACCATGCCACCTTGTAAGAAAATTTGTAAATTGATATAATCTCTTATGTAACTATGTGAGAATTCGTAATAAGAACATATGGAGCACTATTACTAGGCTCCACATTACTGGCAATTTTCATTGCATCTCCACTTGCGGCAGCTCCAAGCAAGCACTTCCAATCCACACTACTCCTGTATGATTAGTTGGGTAGGGTATATCCAAAACACTGAGAATCTTCTGTGGGAGATGCCATATTCGCTTTGAGGGTTTGATGGAGTGATCAAACTGGAAAGACACAAAGAGATGCCAAGCTATGGCATTAGTGCCTTTGTGGGCACACGAAGTGAGCAAAGCAGTTAAGTTCATCAGGTGTATTGGATTGGATGATCTCTCGCAATAATATTTTAAGGCTGAGGCAGTACAATGCTTTTAGAGAAATTGGGTATGAAAAGGTTGCAATGCTGATAGGATATGTGAATACTCAGAGGACCAATAATTGTGTGTCCGTAGGATAGGTGAACACTCAGAGGACCAATAATTGTGTGTGCGTAGGACTCAGAGGACCAATAATTATGTGTCTGTATATGCCTGAAATGCTTTTGTATTTTGTTTTTAGTCTACTCCCTGTCTAAGGACAATTGAAAAAAATATCATCACTTGACATTCAAACTTTTGATGATTTTTTAAGAATGTCACAGTAGAATATACTTAATATATACCTATTAAGGATATCCTATCACTTCATTTTTACCCTCAGAGAATGTTGTTTTGATGAAGGAACTCTTTAGAGCAATCTTGGTTATTCCAGTAAGCATGGTTGCTTGTAAATGATGATTTTCCAGGCAAAATGTGATGGAGAATCATTTTCAAAATTGACTAAACCTTAAGATATTGGATATGTATATATTTTTTTTACTAAAGGGCTTATAGATATATATATTATTAGTTATGTGTTAGGTGTAGTTTCAAGTCCTAAGTCACAACATTACAGGATAAAGGCAAAATAGCAACTTTATTTTATCATAATATCATTTAACATTTATATTTATATTTAGTGGATAAATGTAAAAACAAATAAAAAATTTGCTATATATACATGATGCAATATAAATCCTTGCATAGATAAGAAAGTACTCCCTAAATAACCTTAATAAAATAGCATAAATTGATAATTTTTTTGTTACTTTGACTATGACTAGCAAATTTTGACTTTCTTGCCCAACCATTCACACCTATTATGGAAATCATGCTATTTCAATCTATTATGCCTAATGGAGAGAGAGAGAGAGAGAGAGAAATAAATGAAGTATAACCTAAATGCGTAAGCAAGAACCTTCATCTGCAACACCCATTGTCATATACATGCAATCACATGGCTCTCAAACTGTGTTAAAGTCATTCATTAAACAAGGTAGCCAATTTAAAATTTAATTAAGATCAAAGCTATATAAATTTCTTCCTAAATATCAATAGTATAAGTGCTAATTCCTTAAAGTTTTTGTGTAGATGCCATTCTATCCAAGAAGAAATTTCACAAATCTTAAAGGCAAGACTGAGGTGTATTCTATGCTCTAACATCCCTTTGTTAAATAGGTATTGTCCAAGTACTTTTGTGTTGCTTGATGCATCAAACCTAATCCAGGCTGTGAGAGTTGGTGGTGGCATTCTCTTTCCTAGGACATTATCTAATGGTTTATTTCTTTATCAAGGTTTGGGAATTATCTCTGAATTATTCAAAGGTTATTCAGGAACAATCTCTTGGTTTGAGTGTTTGAAGTTAGATCTAGGGTTTAGGGTAGATGCCATTAAGTGTCAAGCAGCATAGTATTCTCTAGATTGATCAATCTTGGGAAATCTTGTAGCTTTGGCATTTTCAACTATTACTAGGGATGGAATGTAGATTTGCAAAGACTTTTGTTTGCCAAGGCACACTATTACTCTAGGGTGTGTTGTCACAACACTAGTTCTAGATTGCATCACAACATATAAGCACTAAGAATTTAGTTTAGATTAATGCTTGCTAGGGTTATAATGTTTTAGAGGGATTAAAAATTTATGGAAGAAAGTGGTGTCATTACTTTGTCTTGTGCTTGTAGTTCTTCCTCATCTTTCGAAATTTGAAACATTTTTCTATTTTCTTTACCCCCTATTCTCAAGTAAGAAACATATGCACAAGGATGCCATGAAGCTCATTAACAACTAAGCTTAAGAAATACTCTAAAATTCATCATGTTCATAGGTGGAAAGGCATTTGACAAGGCTCGAGCAAATATGTCTACACTCAACTTGTCTCAAAAACCATCACATATAAGGTTTGAGAAAAGAAGATCATATATCTCAATTAGTTATTGGATCAGTGGCTTTTATTTAAACACTTAAATTTTAGATTAGGCAACACCAAGAATATACTTAAAAAAACAATTAAACCTTTACTCTAAAGGTATATAATAGGTTTTTTAACCCTTTGAGTGATCCTACCCTAAACAAGTGTGACCACTTTAGACTTAGTTCTCTTTTGCAAATTAGGATTTCTATCAGTGACATCAATGTAGCTAGCATATTTACTTTAAGATTCATTCATTCACTCACACAACACCAGAGCTATAAGTTAGATACTTCACTAAACTTTTTATAATTATCTCTCAAAAAGTTCATAGGATGTTTACTCAAGATGAGAGGTACTCAAGAAGAAGTTACCAAATTTATAACACTATTGTTGACTCTATAACATGAGTTTAAATGATATTCACAACATAGTTGCAACACTAGCTAACAAGAGCATTGTCGAGGATTAGTGATTTAAAGTAGAAATTATAAGCCAAAATTCCTAGAATAAAAAATAGAACAATTTTTAAAATAAATCAATTTGGCAGTACATATTAGGAATAACTAGAATTGTTAATGAAAATGAGAATGAAAACAAAAAATCACTAAAACTTCACTATGTACCACAATTCTAAAATTTTAGGAAGAATTATTGGAATTTTATTAGATATATAAAATTCCTAGCAGTGTAACTTTATTTTAGAATTATGCACATATATAGTTTTTGCCCAAAATCCCACATATAATTGCTTATATAATTTAAATACCCATTGTGGGATTTTTAGTGCATAACCCCCCACTTTACTCCTGGCATGCATGCACCTCAGTTAACTGCCACATCAAATGGTTCAACCACTCACTAACAACTAGGTGAGGATTGCATTGAGGTTCTAACCCAAGATGCATTAGGAGGGGTAGTAGGTAGATTAGTGAAGCCCAAGGTTAGATTTTACATGAATAATAGCCTAGATTTCACTTGTGCTCATCAAAAATAGAAATCTTTGGTAAGTTCTTCCGTGGTTAACTTCAGTGATCAATCACCACTTCCGTTACTTCTGGGCAAGCCCAGACGGGAGAAAAAGAGATGAATTTCCAGGATGTAGTGCTCGAGAACAAACTGGTCATTGATGGAAATACTGCACAAGGGTCCCAGATTGATCCTCCCTCGCATCCCAGCTGTGGGATCTTCTGGATCGACATCCCGGATTGGATGTAATTCCACTACATCCACGCCTGGGAGGAAGGGATGGACAAGATCGTTGTGTCCATTACGCCGGTGGAACATCTATTTGATGATTTCGCCGGATTGGCCAACAGATTGCACAAGATCCACCTGGACCTTTGATCTGGACGGTCGTGGAAGCAACATGTGTGCTCGGCGGGACTGGATTTTGGAAAGATCAACCAGAAATTCCTGGGGCAGAAGAACTGGTACGTCTACATGTGCTACTATGGGCCATGGCCCAAAATCTGTGGCCTGGCCAAGGTCGATCTGGTGTGGCGTCGAGGAGATTCGAACGTGGTAAGTTTTGTGGCGAATGGCGAGGAGGAAGATGATGGATACATCATCTTAAGCTACGTCCATGATGAGAAAAATGGTGTCTCGGAGCTTTTGGTCATGGATGCCAAATCGCCCACACTTGAGATAGTGGCTTCTATAGAGCTGCCTGCTGGAGTTCCATATGGATTCCATGGGATCTTTATAAATGCCAATCAAATAGCCAACCAAAACCATGCCACCGTCTAAGAAAATTTGATATAATTGTAAAAATTAATATAGTCTCTTGAAAATATCTAAGCTATGTAACTATGTGAGAATTGGCAATAAGAACATATGGAGCACTGTTACTAGGCTCCACACTAATGGCATTTTTCATTGCATCTCCACTCGCTACAGCTCCAAGCAAGCACTTCCAATCCATGGAATCTGGGTAGTATGGCATCTCCCACAGAAGATTCTCAGCGTCTTGGATATACCCTGACTGGACAAGCACACCAATCATACATGAGTAGTGTTGCTTTGAGGGTTTGATGGAGTGATCAAACTGGAAAGACACAAAGAGATCCCCAGCTATGGCAGCAGCACCTTTGTGAGCACACGACGTGAGCAAAGCTGTTAAGCTAGCTTCATCAGGTGTATTAGTAGTGACCATGGTTTGCAAGGCATCCAAGGCTCTGGAAATGGCCCCAATCCGAGAGTATGCCGCCAGCATTGCATCCCAAGATATGAAGTCCTTGTCCGGCATTGTTAAGAATATCCGATTTGCCATATCCAGATGCCCGTTTTGGGTATATGCAGAAAGCATTCACTCCATGGAGATTGGTTTCTTTCTTGGATTGAATCGAACACACTTTTAGCTTCCAGTAACTGCAAATTTGATGAAAAACCAGACAAGAAAGCATTGAAAGCAATAGCACTCTTTTCATTGGAGTTGTCAAAAATTCTCTTAGCCAAAAGCATATGTCCAGTTCGGGCATATGCCGACACGAGCACAATCAGTGGTATTTCGCCGTGACCTGGCATTTTTTCAAAAATACACAGGGCGTCTTCTAGCCTGTGGTTGTTTACATATCCTGTCAGCATGGCAGTCCACGTAACCTCGTTTCGCTCCTTCATTCCATCAAAGAGTTTCTTTGCTTTTTCCAGATGCCCGTTGCAAGCATATGCTGTAATGAGAGCGGTTGCCGGGACTAAATGCTCGCCTTGATCAGGCAGACCTAAATATATGGCTTCGGCGTCGTGAGTCCGCCCTCGTCGAGAATACAAGCGCAGCATTGCAGTGCAAGCAAACGCGTTGTGGCGCTGCATGGTGTAAAATATTTGCTCAGCCTCCGCGATGCTACTGTCCTCGTGATCTGCGTAAGCGGACAGGATTACTGCGCATGAAACCACATCGATACACTCCATCGACTCAAACAGATTCTTTGCCTCGTGAAAGCAGCCACTTTCCGCCAAGACGACAAGCAAAACCGTGGAGGCAACCAAATCCTTGTGAGGCAGCGCGAGGAAGAAATACTTGGCATCTTCCAAAAGGCCGTGCTGGCCAAAGCACTGAATCATGGACGTAAAAGACAGAGCATCAAATTCTGGCATGTTGGAGAAGATGTCCTTCGCCTCCTGCAAATGCCCAGCTTGGGCAAGTGCTGATAGTTGAGAGTTCCAAGCAACAAGATCTCTCTCAGGCATGGAGCTGAAGAGTGTCGTTATTTAAAACAAGTTGGTGGATTTGGATAGAATTGTGGTCCAAGAGATTAAGCTCCTTTCTGGCATAAGCTCAAAGAGCTGCATTGCTTTATCCAAATACCCGTTTGTGGCATATGCTAAGATCATTGCGTTCCATGCTACAAGGCCTCTCTCTCTCATGGAATCGAAAACTTCTTTTGCCTGTAGGAGTAAGCCATGCCGAGAGAAGGCAGTGATCATGATCGACCATGAAGCAACATCCCATTCGGGCATTCGATCAAACAACTGCTTTCCTTGGTCAAGATAGCTGTTTGATGCGAAGGCAGAGAGCATGGCATTCCACGAGAATCGATCCCGTGATGTAGAGCCACGAAAGATTTGCCATGCTGCCTTTGGGCATCCACACCTCCCATACATTTGCACCACCAAATTGCATGCCAAGCAGTCTCCTGCCGCGAGGAGGTGCTCAATCTCATTGTGGAGCTTAGAAGCTGTGGATAGATTGGTACACTTCTTTATTGCATCCAACAAAACCTCTCGACAATCTGGTTCTCTGTAAGAAAAAACCATATAATCATGCACAATCTTGGATGGTTCCTTGGTTGTTGTAGACACAATCATCAATTTGGAGATTAGTTTCATGATCCGCACCACTGTTGTCTTTGCACGTCGCATAGTAGACCAACTTTGGGATGTTTTCATTGTTATACATGCAACCTGTGGGCGTGCATGTCTCTAAGAAATTTGCCCCGCCACACTTTAAATTCCCATTATCATTGTGGATGTGATTGTCCAAGACCAAATAAATCTCAGATTTTCCAGGGAGACACCATTCTAAATGAATAGTGGTTAAGTTGAATTCAACTATATTACAAGTAAGTGAGAAATCCCCACACCCAAATGTTTTAGGAATGATCAAAGCAGCAAGCGAGGCAACAATGGAAACTATCAATCGCACACCCATTCTAAAAATTAGTTTTTTGAAGTGCTGAGATTTATTGTTAAGGGAAAATCCAATCAACCTTTATGGAGACAAAAGTTTTTGCCATGTAGTCCACATAGCGGTGATGAAGTAGATAAATATTCTTATTGATGAACAAAAATATTCAAAAACATTGGAGTTGTCAAAGATTCTCTTCTCAAAAAGCATACGTCCATTTCGGGCACAATCTGGTATCACGCTGTGATCGGCATTGTTTCGATGGTATGGCAGTCTCGTCTCGCATCAAAGAGATTCTTTCGGACTAAATGCTCGTCTTGATCAGGCAGACCTAAATATATGGCTGAGTCCGTTCTTGAGAATACAAGCGCAGCATTGCAGTGCAAGCAAACGCTGTATGCTGTAAAAATTCTGCTCAGCCTACTGTCGTCATGATATGCATAAGCACAGCACAAGACAACACAGCAAAGCAGTGGACGCAACCAAATCCTTATGAGGGTGGCCAAAGCACTGGGCGTGAACGACAGAGGAGCAAACTCTGGCATGTTGGAAAAGATGTTCTTCGCCTCCTGCAAATGCCCAGCTTGGGCAGTTGCTGCTAGATGAGATTTCCAAGAAACAAGATCTCTCGGCATAAACAGAGTCCTTAATTGGCATATGTTGGTGGTCTTTGATAGAATTGTGGTCTAAGATATTAGCTCCTTTCCGGCATAAGCTCAAAGATGCATTTCTTTATCCAAATGCCCGTTTGTGGCAGACTATCATTGCATTCCGGCCTCTCTCTCTCTCTCTCTCTCTCTCTCTCTCTCTCTCTCTCTCTCTCACTCTCACACACACACGGAATAAAAAACAGGAGTAAACCTGATGTTTGATGTGGCATGGCATTCCACTCCTCGATCTAGATACTTGCCATGCCGCCTCAGGGCATCCACACCTCCCATACATTTGCACCAGAAAATTGGATGCCAAACAATCTCCTGCCGCAAGGAGGCACTTGATCTCATTGTGAAGCTTACAAGCTGCAGATAGATTGCTACACTTTTTTATTCCATCCAATAAAACCTCTTGACCATACATTGCTCTCTATGAGAAAAAAAGCATATCTGTTGATGCAATCTTGGCTAGTGCCTTGAGAGTTGTAGAAACAATCATCAATTCGGAGATTAGTGTCTTGACCTACACCACCATCGTCTTTGCAGCTTTGGGATTTCCATTTGTAAAATTCAAACATGCATGTCTCAATTTGAGAAGGGCAAGCAGCAAGATCCAAGCTCAGGATCACAAGAACCAAGGGGGAGGAGTGATGGGCAGTGGTTGTATCCCACAGCCTCAAGACCCAAGGCTCCATTTCTTCGATACTCTCATCCCTGGCACTAGATACTAGCGATAGAAACGAAAAGGCTCCCATTCATCGATGATTCTTCCAGTTGTCAATAAATTCCATGTCATACTAAAAGAACTCCAGTTGATTGATCAAATGGTTCTTTAGTTCTTCCCAAAAGTTTCTTTGCCATCTCTACGCGATCATCTCTATGATCGCCTAAACGCGTTCTTGTCCGTGAACTTCTCGCGGTAGTGCGATCGCCGATGCAAAGTGTCCGCGACCGAGGCACTGCCTCCATTCTCGGTGCCATAGACACTCCTGTTCGTCTCGTCCAGGAAGTTCTTCCCCGACTTGATCGAGTCCTTCTCCTCCTGGACAGCGTCGCTCGCCGAGGCGCGTTTGATCCGCTGCCATCGCTGCTCCTCGTGGAGCTCCGCGTCCTGCTGCATCTCTCTCAGCCGCGCCATCTTCTCCTCCTCGCTCAGCTGGGCTTTCTTCCTCGGCAGCGGTGGCTTGCCGGAGCCACGGTTTTCCTCCTGTCCCTGTGCCTGTCTTCGTGCCTGCGATGCCGTTCATCCACATGTCTCTCCCGCTTTCTACTTCTCGTATCATCGTCCTCGCGAACTTGGTTGCTTCTGTACCTGTCTTGCTCGTCTCTCTCGGGAATTCTTTTGCTGCGATCTTCTCGATCATCCCGTGAAGAAGCACCTATTTTGTTTCTATGCCTGTCTTCCCCGTCGCTGTCCTCGGCAGAGCTTTTCCTCCTGCTATACCTGTCATCCTCATCGGAACCTCCTTTGTTTCCATCGTCATCCTCCTCGGCAGCTCTTCTGCTTCGATCAGCTCTCTTTGCTTCTGGCTCGCCAGCTTCACCGTTCTCTTTCATTTTCTTCTTCAGTGCCTTCCTCTTCTGCTTCTCCTCGGCTTTTACTTGTGCTTTCAATCGCTTCTTTTCCTCTTTAGCTTCCATCTTGAAGTTCTCGGTCACTGCCCTCGTCTACATCCAGGTGACTTACGGATGGACGTGGGGATGGGGCGGCGCTACCGCTGTCGTCGCCCTCGCCACCCTGCTCTTCTTCTCCGGGAGATCAAACTATCGCACCCAAAAGCCCGCTGGAAGTCCCTTCACCCGCGTCGCTCAGGTCCTGGTGGCGGCCACCAGGAAGTGGAATGTGAGCGTTCCAGACGACGATGAGAAGCTGTACGAGCTGAGCGACAAGGAGGCGCAGTTCCCACACATTCGGAACCTCCCCAGGAGTAAAGAATTCACGTAAGTCCAGAAGAACAATCTTAGCTTACTACGATTGATCGCGAGCAGATTCCTGAACAAGGCGGCGGTGGTGAGCGAGAAGGATCTGCAGAGCAAGGAAGTGAAGCCGTGGAGCCTGTGCCCAGTGACGCAAGTCGAGGAAGTGAAGCTCCTAGTGCGAGTGATGCCCATCTGGTTCACGAACCTCATCTTTAGCAGCGTCTTCGCCCAGGTGGGCACCTTATTCCTCAACCAGGGCGACACCATCGAGCGGCATCTGGGGCGATTCCAGATCCCAGCCGCCTCCTTCACGCTCTTCATCCTCACCATTTGCATCATCATGCCGCTCTACGACCGCTGCTTCGTGCCATTCGCGTGCCGGATCACGGGGAACGAGCGAGGGATCACGATGCTCCAGCGCATCGGGATCGGCCAGGTCATCTCCACGGTCTCCATCGCCATCGCCGCGGTGGTGGAGATGAAGCGCTTGCGAGTGGCTAGGCAACATGGTCTGTTGGATCGCCCCCAGTCGACGGTCCCGATGAGCGCATTCTGGCTCTTGCTGCAGTGAGTTCGCGAGGTTTTCATCTCCGTCGGCCAGAACGAGTTCTTCTACGATCAAGCCCCGGATTCCATGCGAAGCATTGGAGTGGCGCTCTATCTCAGCACCATCTCCATCGGGAGCTTCATCAGCAGCTTGCTCGTGGAGATGGTGGTCAAGTTTACAAGTACAAAAGGTGGGGGGGTTGACGGCAACTGGATCAATGACAATCTCAACAGGGCTCACATTGATTACTTCTACTGGCTGCTCACTATTCTCAGCATCATCAACCTTGGGATATATGTCTTGTGTGCGAGGTGGTATACTTACAAGCATGTGGGAGATATTGCAATTTGATCATCAATCGATCCTAGTAACATGTTCTGCAGCAGTTTGTGAGACGAGAGCATACCAGGAGAGACCAAGAGAAGGGCTAAGCGGCTGGGGACGAGCTATCGCAATAGCGATGATGTGATATCACTACCACCACCATAATAAGATACTTATTGCTATATCTTTTAAATATGACCCTATCCAGTTATAAGTTTAGCTCAAAGTTTGAACTGTCAGAGTAAGCCCTAAAATATTGATCTTATCTAATCCATAGCTCTAAAATTCTATTGGAGGGATCAATATATTTAGGTATGCCAATTGCACAGTTAATTTGGTCGCAATGCATGCCACACCGTCTGGGCCTGATCAATATCTTCGGCGGGATGGGATCGAAGTAGGCCATCCCAGCGTATGATATGCCATATGCCCAGCAGGGGATTTGATCACCATGGGCCGCTACAGCTTCAACAAGCGATTGTTCTTGCCGATGTGCGCTCATCCAAAGATCGATCCAATCTCTGGCGAGCTCTTCGCGGATCAATCCCCACCTCCGCTACTTCTGGGCGAGCCCGGACAGGAGGAAGAGCCCCGATTTCGACGTGTGGCTGCTTGTTTCACGACTTCGCGATAACAGAGAACTACGTAATCCTTCCAGAGAATCAGCTCGTGATGAAGTTCTCAAGAACAAACTGGTAATTGATGGAGATACTGCCAAGGTTCCCAGATTCGGGGTCATCCCTCGCATCCCGACCGTGGGATCTCCTGGATCGACGTCCCGGATTGGACATCATTCCACTACATCAACGCGTGGGAGGAAGGGACGGACAAGATCGTCGTACTCAGCTCGTCCATTACGCCGGTGGAACATCTGTTTGACGATATCGCCGGATTGTCCAACAGATTGCACGAGATCCACCTGGACCTTCGATCTGGATGGTCGTGGAAGCAACACGTGTGCTCGGCTGGACTGGATTTTGGACAGATCAACCAGAAATTCCTGAGGCGGAAGAATCGGTACGTTTACATGTGCTACTATGGGCCATGGCCCAAAATCTCGGGTCTGGCCAAGGTCGATTTGGACGCTCCACGGCTGCCCAAGGTGGTCATCGATGGAACAAGTGACCCAGATCTAAACGAGCCATGCCTTGTGGCATCGAGGAGATTTGAACGAGGTCAGTTTTGTGGCAAGCCTTTCTTTGTGGTAAATGGCAAGGAGGAAGACGATGGATGCGTCTTAAGCTACATCCACGATGAGGAAAGTGGTGTCTCAGAGCTTTTGGTCATGGATGCCAAATCGCCCACACTTGAGACAGTGGCTTCTATAGAGTTGCCTGCTAGAGTTCCATATGGATTCCATGGGATCTTTATAAATGCTGATCAAATAGCCAACCAGAACCATGCCACCTTGTAAGAAAATTTGTAAATTGATATAATCTCTTGAAAATATCTAAGCTATGTAACTATGTGAGAATTGGTAATAAGAACATATAAAGCACTGTTACTAGGCTCCACACTAATGGCAACTTTCATTGCATCTCCACTTGCTGCAGCTCCAAGCACTTCCAATCCATGGAATCTGGGTACACTACTCGTGTATGATTAGTCAGGCAGGGTATATCCAAAACGCTAAGAATCTCCTGTGGGAGATGCCATATTATCTTTGAGGGTTTGGAGTGATCAAATTGGAAAGACACAAAGAGATGCCGAGCTATGGCATCAGTGCCTTTGTGGGCACACGAAGTGAGCAAAGCTGTTAAGTTAGCTTCATCAGGTGTATAATCCCTCCAATTAAAATATGGATTGGATGATCTCACCTTCACAATAATATTTTAGGGCTGAGGCAGTACAGTGCTTCTAGAGAAATTGGGTTCAAAAAGGTTGCGATGCTGATAGGATATGTGAACACTCAGAGGACCAATAATTGTGTGTCCATAAGATATGTGAACACTTAGAGGACCAATAATTGTGTGTCTATATATGCCTGAAATACTTTTGCATTTTGTTTTTAGTCCACTCCGACCATTGAAAAAAATGTCATCACTTGACATTCACATTTAATGATTTTTTAAGAATGTCACAATAAAATATATCTATAAGAATATATACCTATTAAGGATATCCTAGTGTTTACCAATGTGTAATCACCTCATTTTTACCCTCAAACCTCCTTAACTCTAAAATGAAGCAATAAAGCTTGAAGAAGAGATTGAGGAATGAATAAAAATGAGAATGAAACAGTGAATTTAAAAAACAAAATTTGACATATAGATATAAATAGAGTAGAGAATATTATTTTGATGAAGAAACTTTTTAAAGCAATCTTGGTTATTCCAGTAAGCATGGCTTCTTGTAAATGATCATTTTCCTGGCAAAATATGATGAAGAATCATCGTCAAAATTGACTTAACCTTAAGATATTGGATGTGTATATGTTTTTCTTACTAAAGGGCTTATAGTGCTTTTTTTTTATTAGTCATGTGTTATGTGTAATTTCAAGTCCAACATTACAGGATAAAGGCAAAATAACAACTTTATTTTTATCATAATGTCATTTAACATTTATATTTATATTTTAGTGGATAAATGTAAAAAAAAAAAAAAATTCTCTATATAAAACACCTTTACATGATGCAATATAAATCCTTGCATAGATAAAAAAGTACTCCCTACATAAAATATCAACTAGCCTAAGCAAATGACCTTAATAAAATAACATAAATTGATTTTTTTTTTTGTTACTTTGACTATGACTACCAAATTTTGACTTTCTTCCCAACCATTAACACCTATTATGGGAATCGTGCTATTTCAATCTATTATACCTAATGTATTTAGAGAGAGAGAGAGAGAGAGAGAGAGAAATAAAGTATAACCTAAATCCCTAAGCAATAACCTTCATTTGCAACACCCATTGTCATATACATGAAATCACGTGGCTCTCAAATTGTGTTGAAGTTATTCATCAAACAAGGTAGCTAATTTAATTAAGATCAAAGCTATATAAATTTCTTCTTAAACATCAATGGTATAAATGCTAATTCCTTAAAGTTTTTGTGTAGATGCCATTTATCCAAGAAGAAATTTCACAGATCTCAAAGGCAAGATTGAGGTGCATTCTATGTTCTAATATCCCTTTGTTAAATAGGTATTGTTCAAGTATTTTTGTGTTGCTTGATGCATCAAATCTGGTGATAATAAGTAGCATATGGGTTTTGGAATCTAGGCTGTGAGAGTTGGTGGTGGCATTCTCTTTCCTAGGACATTATCTAATGTTTTATTTCTTTATCAAGATTTGGGAATTATTTTTGAATTATTCAAAAGTTATTCAGGAATAATCTCCTGGTTTGAGTGTTTGAAGTTAGTACCAAGCAATATAGTGTTCTCTAGATTGATCAATCTTAAGAAATCTTGTAGCTTTGGCATTTCCAACTATTATTGAGGATAGAGTATAGATTTGCAAAGACTTTTGTTTGCCAAGGTGCACCATTGTTCTAGGGTGTGTTGTTATAACACTAGTTCTAGATTGCATCACAAGACATAAGCACTAACAATTTAGCTTAGATTAATGCTTGCTAGGGTTAGATTTTTTTAGAGAGATTAAAAATTTATGGAAGAAAGTGGTGTCATTACTTTGTTTTGTGCTTGTAGTTCTTCCTCATCTTTCAAGGTTTGAAACATTTTTCTATTTTCTTTACCCCTTATTCTCAAATAAGAAACATATGCATAAGGATGCTATGAAGCTCATTAACAACTAAGCTTAAAATCCATCATGTTCATAGGTGGAAATCCATTTGACAAGGCTCGAGCAAATATGTCTGCACTTAACTTGTCTCAAAAACCATACACATAAGGTTTGAGAAAAGAAGATCTCCAAGTTGTTGGATCAATGGCTTTTATTAAAACCCCTAATAATACTTAAATTTTAGATTATGCAACACCAAGAATATACTTTAAAAAAACAATTAAACCTTTACTCTAAAGGTATATAATAGGTATTTTTAACCCTTTGAGTGATCCTACCCTAAACAAGTGTGACCACTTTAGATTTAATTCTCCTTTGCAAACTAGGATTTCTATTAGTGACACCAATATAGCTGGCATATTTACTTTAAGATTCACTCATTCCATGGGACCTGCATCATTCACACAACACCAGAGTTATAAGTTAGATACTTTACTAAACTTTTTATAATTATTTCTCAAAAATTTTATAAGATGGCTACTCAAGATGAGAGGTACTCAAGAAGAAGTTACCAAATTTATAGCACTATTGTTGACTCTATAACATGAGTTTAAATGAGATTCACAACATAGTTGCAACTCTAGCTAACAAGAGCATTGTCTAAGATTAGGAGCACTAGTGATTTAAAGTAGAAATTATAAGCCAAAATTCCTAGAATAAAAAATAGAACAATTTTTAAAATAAATCAATTTGGCAAAAATACATATTAGGAATAACTAGAATTGTTAATGAAAATGACAATGAAAACAATAAATCACTAAAACTTCACTATGTACCACAATTCTATCTAATGAAATTCAAATCATTCTTCCTAAAATTTTATATAAAATTCCTCACAGTGTAACTTTATTTTAGAATAATGCACATATATAGTTTTTGCCCAAAATCCCACATATAATTGCATACATAATCTTAAACCCTTAGTGCATAACCCCCCACTTTACTCTTGCCATGACACACCTCAGTTAACTGCCACATCAAATGGTTCAACCACTCACTAACAACTAGGTGAGGATTACATTGAAAGATGCACTAGGAGGGGTAGTAGGCAGATTAGTGAAGCCCAAGGTTAGATTTTACATGAATAATAGCCTAGATTTCACGTGTGATCATCAAAAATAGAAATCTTTGGTAAGTTCTTCATGGTTAACTTCAGTGATCAATCCCCACCTTTGTTACTTCTGGGCAGGGAGGAAAGAGATGAATTTCCAAGATGTAGTGCTCAAGAACAAACTGGTCATTGATGGAGATACTGCCCAAGGGTCTCAGATTGATGCATCCCGGCCACGGGATTTTCCGGATCGACGTCCCGGATTGGATGTAATTCCACTACATCCATGCCTGGGAGGAAGGGATGGACAAGATTGTCATGTCCATTACGCCAGTGGAACATCTGTTTGACGATTTCGCTGGATTGTTCAACAGATTGCACAAGATCCACCTGGCCCTTCGATCTGGACGGTCGTGGAAGCAACATGTGTGCTCGGCAGGACTGGATTTTGCACCAGAAATTCCTGGGGCAGAAGAACCGTTGGCTAAGGTTGATCTGGTGTGGCATCATGGAGATTCGAACATGGTAAGTTTTGTGGCAAATGGTGAGGAGGAAGACGATGGATATGTCGTCTTAAGCTACGTCCATCATGAGAAAAATGGTGTCTCGGAGCTTTTGTTCATTCATGCCAAATCGCCCACACTTGAGACAGTGGCTTCTATAGAGTTGCCTGCTGGAGTTCCATATGGATTCCATGGGATCTTTAGAAATGCCGATCAAATAGCCAACCAAAACCATGCCACCTTCTAAGAAAATTTGATATAGTTGTAGGAATTGATATAATCTCTTGAAAATATCTAAGCTATGTAACTATGTGAGAATTGGCAATAAGAACATATGGAGCACTGTTACTAAGCTCCACACTAATGGCATTTTTCATTGCATCTCCACTCGCTACAGCTCCAAGCAAGCGCTTCCAATCCATGGAATCAGGGTAGTATGGCATCTCCCACAGAAGATTCTCAGCGTCTTTGACCGGACAAGCACACCAATCATACATGAGTAGTGTTGCTTTGAGGGTTTGATGGAGTGATCAAACTGGAAAGACACAAAGAGATCCCCAGCTATGGCAGCAGCACCTTTGTGAGCGCACGACGTGAGCAAAGCTGTTAAGCTAGCTTCATCAGGTGTATTAGTAGTGACCATGGTTTGCAAGGCATCCAAGGCTTTGGAAATGGCCCCAATCCGAGAGTATGCCACCAGCATTGCATCCCAAGATATGAAGTCCTTGTCCAGCATTGTTAAGAATATCCAATTTGCCATATCCAGATGCCCGTTTTGGGTATATGCAGAAAGCATTCACTCCATGGAGATTGGTTTCTTTCTTGGATTGAATCGAACACACTTTTAGCTTCCAGTAACTGCAAATTTGATGAAAAACCAGACAAGAAAGCATTGAAAGCAATAGCACTCTTTTCATTGGAGTTGTCAAAAATTCTCTTAGCCAAAAGCATATGTCCAGTTCGGGCATATGCCGACATGAGCACAATCAGCGGTATCTCGCTGTGACCCGGCATTTTTTTGAAAATCCACAGGGCGTCCTCTAGCCTGTGGTTGTTTACATATCCTGTCAGCATGGCAGTCCACGTAACCTCGTTTCACTCCTTCATTCCATCAAAGAGTTTCTTTGCTTTTTCCAGATGCCCGTTGCAAGCATATACTGTAATGAGAGCGGTTGCCGTGACTAAATGCTCGCCTTGATCAGGCAGACCTAAATATATGGCTTCGGCGTCGTGAGTCCGTCCTCGCCGAGAAGGCAAGCGCAGGATTGCAGTGCAAGCAAACGCGTTGTGGCGCTGCATGGTGTAAAAAATTTGCTGAGCCTCGGCGATGCTGCTGTCGTCGTGATCTGCGTAAGCGGACAGGATTACCACGCATGAAACCACATCTATACACTCAATCGACTCAAACAGATTCTTTGCCTCGTGAAAGCAGCCACTTTCCACCAAGACGACAAGCGAAACCATGCAGGCAACCAAATCCTTGTGAGGCAGTGCGAGGAAGAAATACTTGGCATCTTCCAAAAGGCCGTGCTGGCCAAAGCACTGAATCATGGACGTAAAAGACAGAGCATCAAATTCTGGCATGTTGGAGAAGATGTGCTTCGCCTCCTGCAAATACCCAGCTTGGGCAAGTGCTAATATCTGAGAGTTCCAAGCAACAAGATCTCTCTCAGGCATGGAGCTGAAGAGTGTCGTTATTTAAAACAAGTTGGTGGATTTGGATAGAATTGTAGTCCAAGAAATTAAGCTCCTTTCTGGCATAAGCTCAAAGAGCTGCATTGCTTTATCCAAATGCCCGTTTGTGGCATATGCTAAGATCATTGCATTCCATGCTACAAGGCCTCTCTCTCTCATGGAATGGAAAACTTCTTTTGCCTGTAGGAGTAAGCCATGCCGAGAGAAGGCAGTGATCATGATCGACCATGAAGCAACATCCCATTCGGGCATTCGATCAAACAACTGCTTTGCTTGGTCAAGATGGCTGTTTGATGCGAAGGCAGAGAGCATGGCATTCCACGAGAATCGATTCCGTGATGTAGAGCCGCGGAAGATTTGCCATGCTGCCTCTGGGCATCCACACCTCCCATACATTTGCACCACCATGCCGCGAGGAGGTGCTCAATCTCATTGTGGAGCTTAGAAGCTGTGGATAGATTGGTACACTTCTTTATTGCATCCAACAAAAGCTCTCAAGAATCTAGTGCTAACATGGTTCTCTGTAAGAAAAAACCATATAATCATGCACAATCTTGGATGGTTCCTTGGTTGTTGTAGAAACAATCATCAATTCGGAGATGAGTGTCATGATCCGCACCACTGTTGTCTTTGCACGTCGCATAGTAGACCAACTTTGGGATGGTTTCATTGTTATACTTGTAACCTGTGGGCGTGCATGTCTCTAAGAAATCTGTCCCGCCACACTTTAAATTGCCATTATCATTCTGGATGTGATTGTCCAAGACCAAATAAATCTCAGATTTTTCAGGGAGACACCATTCTAAATGAATATAGATTAGGGTGAATTCAAATATAGGACAAGTAAGTGAGAAATCCCCACACCCAAATGTTTTAGGAATGATTAAAGTAGCAAGCGAGGCAACAATAGAAACTATCAATTGCACACCCATTCTAAAAATTTGAAGTACAAACGCTGAGATTTATTGGCAAGGGAAAATCCAATCAACCTTTATGGAGACGAAATTTTTTGCCATGTAGTCCACGTAGGATTTGTATTGATGAACAAAAATGGGGTTGTCAAACGTTCTCTTCGCAAAAAGCAAAAAGCATACGTCCATTTCAGGCAAGAGCACAATCTGGTATCGCGCTGTGATCGGCATTGTTTCTAACGCTTCCTCCAACTTCTGGTAGTTAACATACCCTGTCAGCAAGGCGGTCCACGTAACCTCGTCTCGCGCCTTCATTCATCAAAGATGCCGGACTAAATGCTCGCCTTGATCAAAATATATCGTTCTTGAGAATACAAGCGCAGCATAAACGCTGCATGCTGTAAAAATTCTTCTCAGCCTCGACTGTCATCGTGATCTGCACAAGCACAGCACAAGACAATGGACTCGTGAAGCAGCCACTTTCCGCCAAGATGACAAGAAAAGCAGTGGACGCAACCAAATCCTTATGAGGGTGGCCAAAGCACTGGGCGTGAACGACAGAGGAGCAAACTCTGGCATGTTGGAAAAGATGTTCTTCGCCTCCTGCAAATGCCCAGCTTGGGCAGTTGCTGCTAGATAAGAGTTCCAAGAAACAAGATCTCTCTCAGGCATAACACAACATCCTGGCTGATAATAGATATTTCGCGGCCCAGCAGGTGTAATCCCTGCTGCAAGTCCTTCTTTGTCCACTCTTTTGAGATTCCTGCACAAACAAAGTCTGAAGCTCGTCCATACTCTCAACCAACAATCTATAGACTTTTGTGTCTGGATGAAACCTGTTGAAACTGTTATGGAAGGATCTTCAGAAAGTTTTCTCCTTTAGCAGATCGTCACAAACACCAAAATTTAAGAGAATAAACACAGGAAAATGATGAACAACAGCAAAAGTTCCACGCTGCCAATTCTTTGCTAGTCAAATCGTAGCAGAACTATCTTAATTCTGCTCAGAAAGAAAAAAAAAATGCTACAATGCACATCAAGCAAATTAAAATTCGCATCCAAATATTCTCTTAGCAAAACCATATGCCCATTCCGGGCATATGCCGATCACGCTGTGATCCGGCCTTTTTTCAACATTCACAGCGCTCCCTCTACCCTTTGGTTGTTTACATGCTGTCAGCTTGGCAGTTCACATCGTCGTTTCACACATTCGATGGTTTAACTTTTCCAGCTGTAACAAGAGCAAACCAGGGCAAGAAACAAGACCATATCCCTACATAATCGTGCTCCAGGAGATTAAGCTCCTTTCTGGCATTAGCTCGTTGCTTTATCCAAATGCCTGTTACTGGCATAATTAGGAACGTCTTCTGCTTGTCGGAGGAGTCCATACCGAGAGAAGGGCAGTGGTCATGCTCGTCCCACTCGAGCATTCAATCAACAGCTGCTTGGCGACATTCCACGAAAATCAATTCCTCATTCTAGAGCCGCAAAAGACTTGCCATGCCACCTATGGGCATCCACACCTCATATACATTGCACCACCAAATTGGACGTCAAACAATCTCCCGCCGCCGAGGAGGTGCTTGATCTCATTGTGGCTGGATGTGGGTAAATTTGATACGGTTCTTTATTCCATGACCACCTAAAATTACATTATTCTAAAGCAGAGATGATATTTCGTGTGGTGGTGCGTTAGGAGACATGAATCCAGATTGAATATATCTAGCTTTGTTTTTGGTCCACTCGTACCCGTCTAGGAATCATGGGACCATACCTTTACATGATGTTTCTATAGTCTTCATCCCCTCCAAGAAGCAAGGAACCATCCAAGATTGTGCATGATTATATGGTAGAGAACCATGGTCACACTAGATTGTCGAGAGGTTTTGTTGGATGCAATAAAGAAGTGTACCAATCTATCCACAGCCTCTAAGCTCCACAATGAGATTGAGCACCTCCTCGCGGCAGGAGACTGCTTGGCATGCAATTTGGTGGTGCAAATGTATGGGAGGTGTGGATGCCCAGAAGCAGCATGGCAAATCTTCCGCGGATCTACATCACGGAATCGATTCTCGTGGAATGCCATGCTCTCTGCCTTCGCATCAAACAGCCATCTTGACCAAGCAAAGCAGTTGTTTGATCGAATGCCCGAATGGGATGTTGCTTCATGGTCGATCATGATCACTGCCTTCTCTCGGCATGGCTTACTCCTACAGGCAAAAGAAGTTTTCCATTCCATGAGAGAGAGAGGCCTTGTAGCATGGAATGCAATGATCTTAGCATATGCCACAAACGGGCATTTGGATAAAGCAATGCAGCTCTTTGAGCTTATGCCAGAAAGGAGCTTAATCTCTTGGACCACAATTCTATCCAAATCCACCAACTTGTTTCAAATAACGACACTCTTCAGCTCCATGCCTGAGAGAGACCTTGTTGCTTGGAACTCTCAACTATCAGCACTTGCCCAAGCTGGGCATTTGCAGGAGGCGAAGCACATCTTCTCCAACATGCCAGAATTTGATGCTCTGTCTTTTACGTCCATGATTCAGTGCTTTGGCCAGCACGGCCTTTTGGAAGATGCCAAGTGTTTCTTCCTCGCGCTGCCTCACAAGGATTTGGTTGCCTCCACAGTTTTGCTTGTCGTCTTGGTGGAAAGTGGCTGCTTTCACGAGGCAAAGAATCTGTTTGAGTCGATGGAGTATATCGATGTGGTTTCATGCGCGGTAATCCTGTCCGCTTACGCAGATCACGACGACAGCAGCATCGCGGAGGCTCAGCAAATATTTTACACCATGCAGCGCCACAACGCGTTTGCTTGCACTGCAATGCTGCGCTTGTATTCTCGGCGAGGACGGACTCACGACGCTGAAGCCATATATTTAGGTCTAACTGATCAAGGCGAGCATTTAGTCCCGGCAACCGCTCTCATTACAGCATATGCTTGCAACGGGCATCTGGAAAAAGCAAAGAAACTCTTTGATGGAATGAAGGAGCGAAACGAGGTTACGTGGACTGCCATGCTGACAGGATATGTAAACAACCACAGGCTAGAGGACGCCCTGTATATTTTTGAAAAAATGCCGGGTCACGGCGAAATACCACTGATTGTGCTCGTGTCGGCATATGCCCGAAGTGGACATATGCTTCTTGCCAAGAGAATTTTTGACAACTCCAATGAAAAGAGCGCTATTACTTTCAATGCTCTCTTGTCTGGTTTTGCATCAAATTCTCAGTTACTGGAAGCCAAAAGTGTGTTCGATTCAATCCAAGAAAGAAACCAATCTTCATGGAGTGCAATGCTTTCTGCATATACCCAAAACGGGCATCTGGATATGGCAAATCGGATATTCTTAACAATGCCGGACAAGGATCTCATATCTTGGGACACAATGCTGGCGGCATACTCTCAGATTGGGGCCATTTCCAGAGCCTTGGATGCCTTGCAAACCATGGTCACTACTAATACACCTGATGAAGCTAGCTTAACAGCTTTGCTCACGTCGTGTGCTCACAAAGGCACTGCTGCCATAGCTCGGGATCTCTTTGTGTCTTTCCAGTTTGATCACTCCATCAAACCCTCAAAGCAACACTACTCATGTATGTTTGGTGTGCTTGTCCGGTCAGGGTATATCCAAGACGCTGAGAATCTTCTGTGGGAGATGCCATACTACCCAGATTCCATGGATTGGAAGTGCTTGCTTGGAGCTGTAGTGAGTGGAGATGCAATGAAAAATGCCATTAGTGTGGAGCCTAGTGACAGTGCTCCATATGTTCTTATTGCCAATTCTCACATAGTTACATAGCTTAGATATTTTCAAGAGACTATATCAATTTTTATAACTATATCAAAATTTCTTAGAAGGTGGCATGGTTTTGGTTGGCTATTTGATCGGCATTTATAAAGATCCCATGGAATCCATATGGAACTCCAGCAGGCAGGCAGCTCTATAGAAGCCACTATCTCAAGTGTGGGCGATTTGGCATCCATGACCAAAAGCTCCGAGACACCATTTTTCTCATCATGGATGTAGCTTAAGATGACATATCCATCGTCTTCCTCCTCGCCATTCGCCACAAAACTTACCATGTTCGAATCTCCTTGACGCCACACCAGATTGACCTTGGCCAGGCCGCAGATTTTGGGCCATGGCCCATAGTAGCACATGTAGACGTACCGGTTCTTCTGCCCCAGGAATTTCTGGTTGATCTTTCCAAAATCCAGCCCCGCCGAGCACACATGTTGCTTCCACGACCGTCCAGATCGAAGGTCCAGGTGGATCTTGTGCAATCTGTTGGCCAATCTGGCGAAATCGTCAAACAGATGTTCCACTGGCGTAATGGACACGACGATCTTGTCCATCCCTTCCTCCCAGGCGTGGATGTAGTGGAATTACATCCAATCCAGGACGTCGATCCGGAAGATCCCACGGCCAGGATGCCGGGGAGGATCAATCTGGGACCCTTGGGCAGTATCTCCATCAATGACCAATTTGTTCTTGAGCACTACATCCTGGAAATTCAACTCTTTTCCTCCCGTCTGGGCTTGCCTAGAAGTAACAGAAGTGGTGATTGATCACTGAAGTTAACCATGAAGAACTTACCAAAGATTTCTATTTTTGATGAGCACAAGTGAAATCTAGGCTATTATTCATGTAAAATCTAACCTTGGGCTTCACTAATCTACCTACTACCCCTCCTAATGCATCTTGGGTTAGAACCTCAATGCAATCCTCACCTAGTTGTTAGTGAGTGGTTGAACCATTTGATGTGGCAGTTAACTGAGGTGAAGAGTAAAGTGGGGGGTTATGCACTAAAAATCCCACAATGGGTATTTAAATTATATAAGCATGGGATTTTGGTCAAAAACTATATATGTGCATAATTCTAAAATAAAGTTACACTGCTAGGAATTTTATATAAAATTTTAGGAAGAATGATTTGAATTTTATTAGACAGAATTGTGGTATGTTTTCATTTTCATTAACAATTCTAGTTATTCCTAATATGTACTGCCAAATTGATTTATTTTAAAAATTGTTCTATTTTTTATTCTAGGAATTTTGGCTTATATTTTCTACTTTAAATCACTAATCCTGGACAATGCTCTTGTTAGCTAGTGTTGCAACTATGTTGTGAATCTCATTTAAACTCATGTTATAGAGTCAACAATAGTGTTATAAATTTGGTAACTTCTTCTTAAGTACCTCTATGAACTTTTTGAGAGATAATTATAAAAAGTTTAGTGAAGTATCTAACTTATAGCTCTGGTGTTGTGTGAGTGAATGAGTGAATCTTAAAGTAAATATGCTAGCTACATTGGTGTCACTGATAGAAATCCTAATTTGCAAAAGAGAACTAAGTCTAAAATGGTCACACTTGTTTAGGGTAGGTTCACTCAAAGGGTTAAAAAACCTATTATATACCTTTAGAGTAAAGGTTTAAATGCTTTTTTAAGTATATTCTTGGTGTTGCCTAATCTAAAATTTAAGTGTTATTAGGGGTTTAAATAAAAGCCTAACTAATTGAGATATATGATCTTCTTTTCTCAAACCTTATATGTATGGTTTTTGAGACAAGTTGAGTGTAGACATATTTGCTCGAGCCTTGTCAAATGCCTTTCCATCTATGAACATGATTGTGAGACACAAAATCCCTAGGCCCCAAAGTGGAGCCGGAAAGGGTGCCACGTGGTAGTGGCTGAAGCGAGAGCCAAACGAGCGTAACACGTTTGGACCAAAAGCTCCGACTTGAAAAGTCAAGAGCGGGAGTGGAACTCCCAACGAAGTGCTCGAGGAACGAGCATGAAGCGAGCAAAAGGCGAGGCTCCAAAAAGGGACCCAAAAGGACCAACACATGACACGGGGGAGTGTCCGAGATGGACCCGAGTTGGAGTCCGAAGTGGAGTCCGAGATGGACCCGAGTTGGAGTCCGAAGTGGAGTCCGAGATGGACCCGAGTTGGAGTCCGAAGTAGAGTCCGAGATGGACCCGAGATGGAGTCCGAGATGGAGTCCGAAGTGGAGTCCGAGGTGGACCCGAGTTGGAGTCCGAAGTGGAGTCCGAGATGGACCCGAGATGGAGTCCGAGATGGAGTCCGAGATGGAGTCCGAGATGGAGTCCGAGATGGAGTCCGAGATGGAGTCCGAAGTCGAGACCGAGACCGAGACCGGGACCGAGACCGAGACCGAGACCGAGACCGAGACCGAGATCAGGATCGAGACCGAGACCGAGACCGAGGCCGAGGCCGAGACCGAGCCCGAGCCCGAGTCCGAGTCCGAATCCGAGTCCGAGTCCGAGTCCGAGTCCGAGTCCGAGTCCGAGTCTGGAGCCTGAGAGGGTGAAAGCCCAAAGCGTTCGTCTCCCAGACCCTGGGGGGTTTGGTGAGCTCCAAAAGTATAGTAAGGGGAGGACTGCAGTGGAGCCAGTTTGGCCAGGAAAGGCCAGTTTGGCCCAGGAAGGCTGGACCCAGTGTTGGGTGATGAGCTGCCCACTGGGAAGTCTAAGACTAGAGTGAACACAGACCGACAAGCGGGGTAGCTTGGTGAAGTGTTCAAGAGCCGGCTCTAGTTCCCCCGGGAGATCGACTGGCCGATGCTCCCAGTCCAAGTGTGGGTGGCACTACCTACTTGGATACCTGGTGTGGCTCAACGGAACCCGCTCTAAGCCCATGGCTAGAGCACCCAAGGGCAGAAGGCGAGGAGAGTACCCAGGTGGCTCGCGTAAGGCCACGGTGTTCCGAAATGTTGTCCCAAAGGCCCAGACTGTGGAAAGGAAGAGGAGTAGTCCTCTGGGGTAGTGACCAAGGACACAGTCGTGTGGTGGGGAAGTCCCAGAGGACCGTGGGACTTAGTGGTCGGGCCTGTGGGTCTCGATCCAGTGGCAGTGTTGGCAAACACGGCCAGGGGCAGAAAGGGACTTAGTGGGGACTGACAGAGGGATATTGGGGAAGGCTATTCCCCTTGTCGGTGGGCATCCTAAGGATGCTAAGGAGTGGATCTGAGATGACCACTCATGGATGGTTTGCCTAGTCTTGGAGAGCCAAGACGGTGATGCAAGTGGTATTGGACTACCAGTGTGGCAAAGGTGATTGGGCATGGCCTTAGCGTAACAGGCTGCTATGTCGGTGGTACCTTTGAGTGTCGGTCATGGGATCGGACACGTGGAGCACTTGGACCAAGTGCAAATGTTGAGTGGCATGGATGCCATTCTCGGGGCTAGCAAGTCCCAAGTCCTGGATTGGACTTATGGAGGTTGTGAATGAGACTCCTCCAAGTGGTCAGAGGTGTGGTTAAGTGACTAAAGTAGAATGGAAAATTTAGTCCCTTACAATGATGAATTTTAGAGTATTTTTTAAGCTTAGTTGTTAATGAGTTTCATGGCATCCTTGTGCATATGTTTCCTACTTGAGAATAGGTTGTAAAGAAAATAGAAAAATGTTTCAAACCTCAAAAGATGAGGAAGAACTACAAGCACAAGACAAAGTAATGACACCACTTTCTTCCATAAATTTTTAATCCCTCTAAAAAATTATAACCCTAGCAAGCATTAATCTAAGCTAAATTCTTAGTGCTTATGTGTTGTGATGCAATCTAGAATTAGTGCTGTGACAACACACCCTAGAGCAATGGTGTGCCTTGGCAAACAAAAGTCTTTGCAAATCTACATTCCATCCCTAATAATAGTTGGAAATGCCAAAGCTACAAGATTTCTCAAGATTGTTCAATTTAGAGAATACTATGCTGCTTGACACTTAATGGCATCTACCCTAAACCCTAGATCTAACTTCAAACACTCAAACCAAGAGATTGTTCCTGAATAACCTTTGAATAATTCAAAGATAATTCCCAAACCTTGATAAAGAAATAAACCATTAGATAATGTCCCAGGAAAGAGAATGCCACCACCAACTCTCACAGCCTGGATTACGTTTGATGCATCAAGCAACACAAAAGTACTTGAACAATACCCATTTAACAAAGGGATGTTAGAGCATAGAATATACCTCAATCTTGCCTTTAAGATTTGTGAAATTTCTTCTTGGATAGAATGGCATCTACACAAAAACTTTAAAGAATTAGCACTTATACCATTGATGTTTAGGAAGAAATTTATATAGCTTTGATCTTAATTAAATTTTAAATTGGCTACCTTGTTTGATGAATAACTTTAATACAATTTGAGAGCCACGTGATTGCATGTATATGACAATAGGTGTTGTAGATGAAGGTTCTTGCTTACGCATTTAGGTTATACTTCATCTCTCTCTCTCTCTCTCTCTCTTTCTCTCTCTCTCTCTCTCTCTCTCTCTCTCTCTCTCTCTCTCTCTCTCTACATTAGGCATAATAGATTGAAATAGCATGATTTCCATAATAGGTGTGAATGGTTGGGCAAGAAAGTCAAAATTTGCTAGTCATAGTCAAAGTAACAAAAAAATATTCAATTTATGCTATTTTATTAAGGTTATTTAGGGAGTACTTTCTTATCTATATTGCATCATGTATATATAGTGAATTTTTTTATTTGTTTTTACATTTATCCACTAAATATAAATATAATTGTTAAATGATATTATGATAAAATAAAGTTGCTATTTTGCCTTTATCCTGTAATATTGTGACTTAGGACTTAACTACACCTAACACATGACTAATCAAAAAAATATATATATATCTATAAGCCCTTTACTAAGAAAAATATATACACATCCAATATCTTAAAGGTGGCATGGTTCTGGTCGGCTATTTGATCGGCATTTATAAAGATCCCATGGAATCCATATGGAACTCTAGCAGGCAACTCTATAGAAGCCACTGTCTCAAGTGTGGGCGATTTGGCATCCATGACCAAAAGCTCCGAGACACCACTTTCCTCATTGTGGACGTAGCTTAAGACGTATCCATCGTCTTCCTCCTTGCCATTGGCCACAAAGAAAGGCTCGCCACAAAACTTACCACGTTCGAATCTCCTCGACGCCACAACGCACGGCTCGTTTAGATCCGGGTCACTTGTTCCATCGATTACCACCTGGGCAGCCGTTGAGCGTCCAAATCGACTTTGGCCAGGCCCGAGATTTTGGGCCATGGCCCATAGTAGCACATGTATACGTACCGATTCTTTCGCCCCAGGAATTTCTGGTTGATCTGTCCAAAATCCAGTCCGGCCGAGCACACGTGTTGCTTCCACGACCGTCCAGATCGAAGGTCGAGGTGGATCTCGTGCAATCTGTTGGACAATCCGGCGATATCGTCAAACAAATGTTCCACAGGCGTAATGGACGAGCTGAGCACGACGATCTTGTCCGTCCCTTCCTCCCAGGCGTTGATGTAGTGGAATGATGTCCAATCCGGGACGTCGATCCAGCGAATGCCAAAAGATCCCACGGTCGGGATGCGAGGGATCACCCCGAATCTAGGAACCTTGGCGGTATCTTCATCAATGACAAGTTTGTTCTTGAGCACTACATCCTGGAACTTCATCACGAGCTGATTCTCTGGAAGGATTGCGTAGTTCTCTGTTATCGCGAAGTCGTGAAACAAGCACGGGTCCGGCAGCCACACGTCGAAATCGGGGCTCTTCCTCCCGTCCGGGCTCGCCCAGAAGTAGCGGAGGTGGGGATTGATCACCGGATTGAAGCTAACCGCGAAGAGCTCGCCAGAGATTGGATCGATCTTTGGATGAGCGCACATCGGCAAGAACAATCGGTTGTTGAAGCTGTAGCGGCCCATGGTGATCAAATCCCCTGCTGGGGTGATACTCACGGCATATGGCATATCATCCTCGGACATGGCCAGAATTCGGCGATCGAAGTAGGCCATCCCAGCGTTGGAGGTTCCCATCCCGCCCAAGATATTGATCAGGCCCAGAGCCGTGCGCATCACAAACAGCCCGAATCGTGCGAGCCCAGCATAGCTGCTCATGGTGCCCAGTGTGTAGGGGAAGAGAGGCTTGCCCGCTGCTTGCTCCTGGACGAATCGATTGTTCTGGGTGAATCGCGCGCAGTAGACTGGAGCTTGATCCTCTTCATCACCGAACTTGACAGAGTGGAGCATCCCATGGCCATCGAAGTAGTGGTAGCCGGCGGGAGGGGGATGGAGTGGATTGGAGCCATTGCGGATGTAAGCACTGCCGCGGAGGCAGCGAGGGATCTCGCCAGTGACTCGGCGGCACGGCGTTGGCGGGAACTCTCCAACCGGCGCGAAATTGTCCGCGAGCTGGATCTGGGGGTCTTGCGAGGGAGGGAACTCGCGGGGATCGATGTACGTGGCGATGAGATTCTCCACAGTGTCGCACAGGGCTACCGCCGCCGCCCGCACCTCTTCTATTGGATTGGGGATTGAGAATCCAGGGGTATTGATATACTTGCGAGAGGATTTGGTGGCGGTGGCTGTGATCCTTGATGATCTTTTCCTGGGTGGAGCTGGGAAGGAGAAGTTGGTAAGGCTATAACCAATATCAATCCCAACTGTGGCATGCATTGAGGAACAATCAACGACTAAGACCAGTGGCATTGGCATACATAACTACATTGATCCCTCCAATCGAATTTCAGAGCTATGGATTGGATGCTCTGTGCCACACCTCTCGCATAGATAAGATCATATTGTAGGGCTGAGGTGGAGAATGTTACTAGCTACTTGGGATGTGGGACAATCAGGGGTTGGAAACAATGCGCGTGAGACCAATAATTGTGTGTCGGTATGTTGGTTGTTGTAGAAACAATCATCAATTCGGCATGATCAACATTACTTTTATCTTTGCACCTTGCATAGCAGACCACCTTTGGGATGGTTTCATTGTTATACATGAAACCTATGGGCGTGCATGTCTCTAAGAATTTTTCCCCGCCACACTTTAAATTCCCATTATCATTGTGGATGTGAGTGTTCAAGACCAAATATCGAGGGAGACACCATTCTACACGAATAATGGTTGAGCTGAATTCAGCTATAGCACAAGTAAGTGAGAAATTCCCACACCCAAATGTTTTAGGAATGATCAAAGCAGCAAGCGAGGCAACAATAGAAACTATCAATCGCACACCCATTCTAAAAATTAGTTTTTTGAAGTACAAACGCTGAGATTTATTGGCAAGTGAAAATCCAATCAACCTAAATTTTTTTGCCATGTAGTCCACGTAGCTAAATATTCTTATTGATGAACGAACATTGGGGTTGTCAAACATTCTCTTCGCAAAAAGCACAATTTCGGGCAAGAGCACAATCTGCTATCACGCTGTGATTGGCATTGTTTCGAACGCTTCCTCCAACTTCTGGTAGTTAACATACCCTGTCAGCATGGCGGTCCACGTAACCTCGTCTCGTCATTCATCAAAGAGATTCTTTAGATGTTGCCGGACTAAATGATCGCCTTGATCAGGCAGACCTAAATATATGGCTTCGGCGTCATGAGTCCGTTCATGAGAATACAAGCGCAGCATAAACGCTGCATGCTGTAAAAATTCTTCTCAGCCTCGACTGTCGTCGTGATCTGTGCAAGCACAGCACAAGACAATGGACTCGTGAAGCAGCCACTTTCCGCCAAGATGACAAGAAAAGCAGTGGAGGCAACCAAATCCTTATGAGGGTGGCCAAAGCATTGGGCGTGAACGACAGAGGAGCAAACTCTGGTGTTGGAAAAGGTGTTCTTCGCCTCCTGCAAATGCCCAGCTTGGGCAGTTGCTGCTAGATGAGAGTTCCAAGAAACAAGATCTCTCGGCATAAAAAGAGTCCTTAATTGGCATATGTTGGTTGTTTGTTGTCTAAGAGATTAGCTCCTTTCCGGCATAAGCTCAAAGATGCATTGCTTTATCCAAATGCCCGTTTGTGGCATACTATCATTGCATTCCGGCCTCTCTCTCTCTCTCTCTCACTCTCTCTCTCTCTCTCTCTCTCTCTCTCTCTCTCTCTCTCACACACACACACACACACACACACACACACATAGAATTCATGGAATAAAAAACAGGAGTAAGCCAATGATCATGATTGACCATGAAGCAAGGTCCCATTCGATCAAACAACTGCTTTGCTTGGTCAAGATGGCTGTTTGATGCGGCATGGCATTCCATTCCTCGATCTAGATACTTGCCATGCCGCCTCAGGGCATCCACACCTCCCATACATTTGCACCAGAAAATTGGATGCCAAACAATCTGCTGCCTCAAGGAGGTGCTTGATCTCATTGTGAAGCTTACAAGCTGCAGATAGATTGCTACACTTTTTTATTCCATCCAATAAAACCTCTTGACCATACATTGCTCTCTATGAGAAAAAAAGCATATCTGTTGATGCAATCTTGGCTAGTGCCTTGAGAGTTGTAGAAACAATCATTAATTCGGAGATTAGTGCCTTGACCTACACCACCATCGTCTTTGCAGCTTTGGGATTTCCATTTGTAAAATTTAAACATGCATGGCTCAATTTGAGAAAGTGGGGCTGTAAATTAATACGCGATCGCGATCGGTAAAGATTCTTCAAACCGTGAAATCACACCTTTGCCAGTGGGAATCGCATATTATGTTTGCTAGTACTGAATTTACAGTAGATCTAAGCATAGATCCATATATTATGGAGAGAATTTTTTGCCCGCCACACATCAAAACTAAGAAATTTCAGACTTTCCAAGGACACACTGTTCTACATGACTATTGGTTATATTTAATTCGCTTACAAAGCGAATTCCCCCAGAAATGATCCAAGCAGCAAGCCACACACCAATCACTTGTACAGCCATTCTTAAAATTTGGTTTTGAGGTAAGGATAAAACCAGCATAGAGCAGAATTTCACAAGAGGTTCCTGGATGATCCAATCCAATTGATGCTGATCACTCTCAATCAAATCCTCGAGAAGTTTGATAGGGAAAAATCCAATCAAGACGCTTTTGGAGAAGCAATTTCTAGAAAAAACTGGCGCGTCAAGGGGACTGGAATCTCGCCACGTACGCGCAAAACGCCACGTGGCTTTCATAGATTCGCCTCCACTAGGCGTGTGTTTTTGACCACGTCCGGCTCCACGCTTTCGATTGACGCAATAAAAGTACCATTCCTCGTTTGGTGGCACAGCCTGTGCTCTGCGATCTCATCCCCTCCCATCTCCGCTCCCTCCAATTCGATCGATCCATCGATCAGTCCGGTAGCCAGTAGCGCTAGCATCCAGATCCTCTCCTCCAATTCGCGTCAATTCTATGCTATAAATTACAGGATCTATGGCTTACTTCAAATCTATGGCAACTATGGCGGCTGCCACGGCCACTGCAGCGATCTACGAGGCTCGTGTCCATCACTTCCATCACGACTCGCCTTCCTCCTCCGCGAATTCGCCAGATCACGAGCAATTCCACCAGGATCCCTCGTTAGGAGCGCACAACCAAGGGGCAAGCAGCAAGATCCAAGCTCAGGATCACAAGAACCAAGGGGGAGGAGTGATGGGCAGTGGTTGCATCCCACAGCATCAAGACCCAAGGCTCCATTTCTTCGATACTCTCATCCCTGGCACTAGATACTAGCGATAGAAACGAAAAGGCTCCCATTCATCGATGATTCTTCCAATTGTCAATAAATTCCATGACCTCTCATACTAAAAGAACTCCAATTGTTTGATCAAATGGTTCTTTAGTTCGATGATAGTTTACACCCAAAAAGTTTCTTTGCCATCTCTATGATCATCTCTATGATCGCCTAAACGCGTTCTTGTCCGTGAACTTCTCGCGGTAGTGCGATCGCCGATGCAAAGTATCCGCGACCGAGGCACTGCCTCCATTCTCGGTGCCATAGACACTCCTGTTCGTCTCGTCCAGGAAGTTCTTCCCCGACTTGATCGAGTCCTTCTCCTCCTGGACAGCGTCGCTCGCCGAGGCGCGTTTGATTCGCTGCCATCGCTGCTCCTCGTGGAGCTCCGCGTCCTGCTGCATCTCTCTCAGCCGCGCCATCTTCTCCTCCTCGCTCAGCTGGACTTCTTCCTCGGCAGCGGTGGCTTGCCGGAGTCGCGGTTTTCCTCCCTGTCCCTGTGCCTGTCTTCGTGACTGCGATGCCGATCATCCACGTCTGGGCTATCGTGTCTCTCCCGCTTTCTACTTCTCGTATCATCGCCCTCGAGAACTTGGTTGCTTCTGTACCTGTCTTGCTCGTCTCTCTCGGGAATTCTTTTGCTGCGATCTTCTCGATCATCCCGTGAAGAAGCAACTATTTTGTTTCTATGCCTGTCTTCCTCGTCGCTGTCCTCAGCAGATCTTTTCCTCCTGCTATACCTGTCATCCTCATCGGAAGCTCTTTTGTTTCCATCGTCATCCTCCTCGGCAGCTCTTCTGCTTCGATCAGCTCTCTTTGCTTCTGGCTCGCCAGCTTCACCGTTCTCTTTCGTTTTTTTCTTCAGTGCCTTCCTTTTCTGCTTCTCCTCGACTTTTATCTGCTTTCAATCGCTTCTTTTCCTCTTTAGGAAGAAAAACATACCTCTTTTCGCAAAGCTTCCATCTTCAAAGGATTGCTCTTGATTCGTTCCCGAGCGGCCAGCTCTTGCTGCCTAATCAAGAGCAAAGGATCCGACCGAGTTTTCCTCCACTTGTCATTAGCCGAGATCTTCTCTTCCACGAACAGCGATCCCGGCGTGGCGGCCACCTGCTGGATCTCTCCTCTTTGGATTCTTCGAGAGGCTTACCAAGCAAATACTCCTCATTCGACGGCTTGCCAACGCCCAACCCCGATTCGTAGAGAAAATCCAAGCGCTCCTGCCTCCTGGAAAAACCAAGCAAAATTCCCATCAGTCACTCGCTGGCGCGCAGAGAAAATCCAAAATCTAGCTAGAACACTTACGGCACCAGCCCCGCTTGCTCCTGGAGCTTGCGAAATTCCAAATGATCCTGCTCATCCCTGATCTGCTTCTGGAGCTCCTCGAGCTTCCGCTTCTCCGCCTCGCGGCCTTCCACACCGTCTCGATGTTGCGCAGGCTGCCCGTGTGCCATCCCTTCTTGTTGAGAAACTTGAGCGCCATAGCGGGATCCTCACGAACCCTAACTCAAGAGCCCTAAAGGTTTCATTTATAGCAAAACATTAAGGTCCCTAAACAAAGTTTCCTAGATATCAGGGGCCGTGAGGAGCATATTCCGTCGCGCATCTCCGTCGCGTGCTCTCCGGGGCTTTCATTAATAAGCGTCGGCACATGCACCACTAAATGCCGCCTTGCAATCGTCGTCGTCCGGTCGCGGAGATCGACGGCCTTAATGGCGCCAGCGGGGCAGAGGCCGGGGCTCTTAATTCCAGCTTTGGCATTCAAGTCCCCTGCGTATTTCCCCGCGCTCGGCCACCGCGCGGTGCTGGACGCGGTGTTTGGTGCTTTACTTTCCACTCGCTAGATTGGCCGTGCGGCTGACGCACGTGTGCCGCACAAGGCCGCGTCGCCACATTGGCGGAAGAGAGTAGCGTCTCGCCTTCCTTCTCTCTCACACCCAATCTCGTGGAGCTACATTTTTTATTTTTCTAGGTCAGCTGTTGCTGCCACAGATTTGTTGCGAGCGCTTTCGATTCGAGGTGATGGCGCAGCGAGCAGCGCTGCTCGACAATCTCACGCTCGTTCTTCGAGGAAGAAATTTCTGGCGCTGCGCGGCGGATTGCTCATCGTCTACTCCGGTAGCTACCGGTGCTGGAGCGTCATCGGATTTTCCCTAGGTAGAGCACAGGAATCGTAGCTAGAGCTAGAAATTGGGCGAATATTATCCTCGCGACTGTGTTCTTCGTCCTCTTCGGCGGCTGGGATTTTGCGCCATGGGATCTTCGCTAGCTAGAGTAGAAGTAGAACACAGGTGGGGAGGAATCGAGCGTAGCTAAAGCTAGAAATTTGGGAAAATATTTCGGGATTGGATTTGCAAATGTATATGGAGGGGAGCTGATTTGCGCTGGGCAATGGATCCTCCGAAGAGCAAGGGCTGGTTTAGCTGGTTCTCGAAGAAGAAGAAGGTAAAGCCCGAGGAGAAGAAGCAGCCAGTGGAGAGATCGAAGCCAAAGCGTCCCATAGCTCCTCGAGTAGGGGGAGCCAAGGAAGCAGGGAAGCATGGTGACCAGCCCTCCAACGTTACCAAGCAAAAGGTCGCGGCTGCCAAGCAATACATCGAGAATCACTACAAATCCCAAATGAAAAATCTCCAGGAACGCAGGGAGCGGTACGTGTGCCATTTCAATATAGATAGATAAATCTTCTCTTTACGTCCATACGATCTGTGTTCTAATGGTTTTTTTTCTTTCGTGGTTGTTTATCTTCTATCAGGCGATGGATGCTTGAGAGGAAACTGGCCGCTTCTAATGTCAGCGAAGAAGAACAAAACCGAATTCGGAGGGACTTGGCGAGGAAAGAGACTGAGTATATGAGACTTCAAAGACATAAGATGGGGGTGGAGGACTTTGAGTTGCTGACAATTATCGGTAGAGGAGCATTCGGAGAGGTAAGATTAATGCAAGCGTTTCGCTTTGAAACTTATCCGCAAAGCACGTTGAACTTGCAGGTTAGATTATGTAGAGAGAAGCGATCGGGACAGGTGTATGCAATGAAGAAGCTCCAGAAATCCGAAATGCTTAGGCGCGGACAGGCAAGCGCTACGTTATTAGACTCTTGCCAATCACTCCGGTGCTGATGCTCTCGTGATTTTTTCAGGTGGAGCATGTTAGAGCAGAGCGTAATCTCCTAGCAGAGGTTGACAGTAATTGTATAGTGAAACTCTTTTGTTCCTTTCAAGACGATGAATATTTGTATCTCATCATGGAGTATCTTCCTGGTGGCGACATGATGACGCTGCTTATGCGGAAGGACACACTAACAGAAGACGAAGCTAGATTCTACGTCGGGCAGGCCATTTTGGCAATCGAGTCCATTCACAGGCACAACTACATTCACAGGTATGTTGCGAGTCGAGAACATGGCTTGAACTTACCAGTTTTTCTGTGTCTTCTGTGCAGGGATATCAAGCCTGATAATCTTCTACTTGATAAGAATGGTCACATGAAATTGTCAGACTTCGGGTTGTGTAAACCCCTAGACTGCTCTAACTTACCAGCTTTATATGAGAATGAGCCAGGTATAGAGGAAAAGATCAAAGACGCATTAACCTTCGAGGCACTGAAATCTCCTGCTCGCAGACGCACGCAGCAGGAGCAACTATTGCATTGGCAACGAAACAGAAGAATGCTGGTGCGTAGCTTGTACTTCCTTTTGTCCCGATTTTTATCTAAGTGTTCTTTAACAGGCTTATTCAACTGTCGGGACGCCAGATTATATTGCTCCCGAAGTTCTACTGAAGAAGGGATACGGGATGGAGTGTGATTGGTAAGAGGCACTTCTGATTGAAAATATCTACCGGCTTGATTGATTTATGGTGCCTAGGTGGTCTCTTGGAGCTATAATGTACGAGATGCTAGTCGGGTATCCGCCCTTCTATTCCGACGAACCGATGTCTACTTGCCGGAAGGTACGCCATCACATCTTGATTGACTATTCATGAATTTTGTACTCGCTTGCCTCATAACTACGCATTTTTGTATTTTTATGTGTGATTGTTATTGATCAGATAGCATCGCGTTAAGATGTCTTGTTTCATTGACAGATAGTCAATTGGAGAATGCACCTCAAGTTTCCAGAGGAGGCTAAGCTCTCCGCCGAAGCCAAGGATTTTATTAGTCGGCTGATCTGCGATGTAGAGCATCGTCTTGGGACTAGAGGCGTCCACGAGTTAAAGGTAATAGTTTTATCATCGTGTTTTTTCCTGATAAGCTAACTGGATCCACTTTCAGGGACATTCCTGGTTCAAAGGTGTCGACTGGAACAAGCTCTATGATATGGAAGCTGCTTTCAAGCCCGAAGTTGCGAATGAACTGGATACCCAGAACTTCGAAAAATTTGAAGACGTAAGTTTGTAGCATATATGATTCGAATGGTTTCACTTTTTTCTTTCTCTCTTGAACAGAGTAATTCGCAAGCCCAACCGGCTTCGAAGTCCGGACCTTGGAGAAAAGTAAGTTGTTCTTGTGTTGATCATCTTATTTTCCGTTGCACTCACCGTCTTGCTCTTTTAGATGCTACCTTCGAGAGATGTTAATTTCGTTGGTTACACGTACAAGAACTTTGAAATTCACCAAGATGCCCGCGTTCCTGGGATGGGTAAGTTCTCTCC